TTCGACAGATCTGCATGAGATTTCCTTCGGCCTGGATGTGTTTGGAATGTTGATGTCTGCAGAAGGCCAAGCCCTTCTCTGCAAGCTGGTTTATTATTGCAGCTTCACCCACCCACCCAGTTAAAGCAGCCATTGAGATAGACCTTTCACACACAAATCCACTTTGCTTTAATATGTGTTTAACCACAAGGCTCTATAATAATCCTATACACACTGAGATAAGCCCCACTGTGGCCCCTTCCACACAACTGAATAAAATCCGACATTATCTGCTTTGAACTGGAATATATGGCAGTGTGGACTCAGGGCCTTTCCACACAGCCATATATCCCACAATATCAAGGCAGAAAATCCCACATTATCTGCTTTGAACTGGGTTATTTGAGTCCACACTCAGATAATGTGGGATTTTCTGCCTTGATATTCTGGGATATAGGGCTGTGTGGAGGGGCCCTAGGCTCAATGGTATAGAATCCTGGGATTTGTAGAGAAGTCTAAAGGCCTTGTAAAACTACAACTCCTAGGATTCCACAGCCCTGAATTATGATGCAGTTTGGAAGTGCATTATATTGCCAGTGTAGACTCATATAATCACTTAGGGCCCTTCCACATAGCCATATAACCCAGAGATCAAGGCAGAAAATCCCACAATATCTGCTTTGAACTGGCTTATCTGAGTCCACACTGCCATATATACATGTTCAAAGTAAAAAATGTGAGATTTTATTCAGCTGAACAGATAACCCAGTTCAAAGCAGATATTGAGCCCTTCCACACAGTCCTATATCTCAGAATATCGGCAGGAAATCCCACATTATTTGAGCGTGGAGTCAGATAACCCAGTTCAAAGCAGATGTGGGATTTTCTGCCTTGATATTCTGGGATATACGGCTGTGTGGAAGGACCCAGAGCTGTGTTATTCTGGAACATGAAAGAGATATTGTAGCATCCTAGGGCCCTTCCACACAGCCATATAACCCAGAATATCAAGGCAGAAAATCCCACAATGTCTGCTTTGAACTGAGTCCACATTGCCATATATTCCCATTCATTATCTGAGTCCACGTTGCCATATATTCCCATTCAAAGCAATTGTGGATTGTCTGCCTTGATATTCTGGTAATTTGGCTGTGTGGAAGGACACTTAGGGCCCTTCCACACAGCCCTATATCCCAGAATATCAAGACTGCAAATCCCACAATATATCCTTTGAACTGGATTATCTGGGGGACCTTCTACACAGCCCTATATCCCAGAATATAAAGGCAGAAAATCCCACATTATCTGAGTGTGGACTCAGATAACCCAGTTCAGAACAAATATTGTGGGATTTTCTGCCTTGATATTCTGGGATATAGGACTGTGTAAAATGGCCCTGAGTCCACACCCAGAATATCAAGGCAGAATAACCCACAATATCTGCTGTGACCTGGTTTTTCTGAGTCCACACTGCTATATATCCCAGTTCAAAGCATTCTGAGATATATGCCTGTGTGGAAGGACCCTGAGAGGTTGCTCTCCAAATTGCTACAAGATCCTTTTCATTCTTTGGTGCTAGGGAACATATAACATGCTGCCATTTAAACCAAAGATCAGCTTTACCATTGATGTCTTGGAAGTTTGGAGGATGATAAAGCACTCCTAGTGCTATGTTTTATATGCTTACTTCTTAACAAATCCAGAGCCCTTCCACACAGCCATATAACCCAGAATATTAAGGCAGAAAACCCCACAATATCTGCTTTGAACTGGTTATCTGAGTGCATACTGCCATATTTTCCAGTTCAAAGAAGATGATGTGGGATTTTATTCAGCTGTGTGGAAGGGACCTGGGTTATCTGAGAGCCCTTCTACACAGCCCTATATCCCAGAATATGAAGGCAGAAAATCCCACAATATCTGCTTTGAACTGGGTTATCTGAATCCACACTCAGATAATGTGGTATCCCTTGATATTCTGGGATATAGGGCTGTGTGGAAGGGCTCTCTCTCAGTCTTTTCATTTTAAAATCAATTGGACTTAAAGGAGGGGAAGAATGGACACGAAGAATGAGTGCTCTATACTGTAGAATTAATGCAGTTTGACACCACTTGGACTGTCATGACTCATTGTGATGGAATTATCATGTAATTTTACAAGATTTTTCACCTTCTGTTCCAAACAGTGCTTCTCATCAAACTACAAATTTCAGGAGTCCATAGCCAAATGCCATGGCACGTTAAGTGAAGTCAAACTGCATGCAAGACTGTAGAACCACCCAAAGGATCTTGTAACCTAAGAACACATTTATTGTATCAGGAGGGTTGGGCATTGGAGCCCATTTGACCCAGTGCACACAGAGTAATATTTAAATATCAGGTACACATCTTAACGCACGGGATGATGGGGGGGGGGGTCAGAAGAAAATTGGGCAAGGGGAGAAAATATATCTGGAGGACTTTAACTGAACCACATTTTAGTCCCTACTGGAATAGACTCACTGATAGGAAAATGAATTATATAAATCCCATTGGTTGTAAGGATTCTCCCTTCGAACTAAAATTGGATTTCATCTCTGCAGTAACAACAAAATCTTTATAGGAAATATATTCTACTTACAGTAGTCCTCTCCATCCAGCTCCTCTCTTCGAAAATATTAGTTTTTTGTACTGGAAACAGATGCTAGATATGTTTGTTTGTTTAGTTGCCCTTCCCAGCATCCCCGCTTTCACTCTATTACCCCTTTGCCTGGAGGGTATTGGGGAGCTACACTTGCCTTTAGGGTTTCCGTTGTAATGCTTTTAATTTTTTTTTTGTCCTCTACAAATCCCTCAAACATTCCCATAAATTCTTTTACCAGACTGGAAACATTATTAGTTGAAGCTTGAACGCCACCGACATCCTCGAGAGTTACAAAGGGCATTTAGAGGTAGGGTTATTTGATATTCTGCTGTATGGTGAGTGAAGAAAAAGGGTTTCTGCCTGCACGGTAAAAAAAAAAGCAAGACTATTAAAAATCGATTATACATGGCAAAGAGATCTAATAATACACGCGAGATGAGCAAACGGACAAGACAATTACTTGATCGCCTTTAAGGACTAACACGTTTCCTTGGGCACGTTTGGTAGATGACAATAATAATAATAATAATAATAATAATAATAATAATAATAATAATAATAATAATAATAATAATAATTTCTTACCTGACTCTCATCGAGACTTGATATTATATTATATTATTATTATATTATTATTATGTCTTACCTCCCTTTCTTCAAGGCTCAATATAATAATAATTCTACTATATAATATTCTATAATAATAATAATAATAATAATAATAATAATAATAATAAATTTTACCTGCCTCTCCTCGAGGCTCGATAGTATTATAATAATACTATATATTATATAGTATTATTATAGTGTATTATTTCTTCCCTGCCTCTCTTCAAGGCTCAATATAATAATAATAATAATAATAATAATAATAATAATAATAATATTTTACCTTCCTTTCTTCGAGGCTTGCTATAATAATAATAATACTAGATATTATATACTATTATTATACTATATAATAACAATTCTTATTTCTTCCCTGTCTCTCTTCAAGGCTCGATATAATAATAATAATAATAACAACAACAACAACAACAATACTATATAATATTCTATAATAATAATAATAATAATTTATTACCTGCCTCTCCTCGAGGCTCGATATTATTATAATAATAGTATATGTTATATACTATTAATATACTATATAATAACAATAGTAATAATATATAACATTATACTACTACTACTAATAATAATAATAATAATAATAATAATAATAATAATAATAATGGCAACCCATTTTAGCCTTAGTCTGAAGTCTATTTCTGGACTGGAGGCCACCAATTCTTGCGCCAAAGAAAACTTGTGAGCCTTTAAGTACCATCCGACCCTTTGTTGTTTGGATTGCGAGAAAAGACAGAGCTAAAAAAAAACCAAAAGCAAAATATTCTAGTAATCATAGCTCGAATTTTGGTAGCTTCGCTTAGGCAGCACAGTTTCTGGAGGATTTCGGTCTAGTTGGTCCTTATCAATCATCTTCGGATAGTTTGCTCTTTATTTCCCTCTGTAAAGGAGAAAAGAAGAGGAAAAAGAAGAAGACAGCAGCTATTGCTTTGAAATAAATTATCATTAGGCACAATCCGGATTGGAGGCAGGGAGGCCATCAATCAAGCTGTCTTGCCGGGTCTTCCTCCCTCCCATCAGTATTGCTACTAATTCCGGGGTTGGAGCCAGATGGCCCAGAGAAGAACGGGAATCAAATGGCGCATTAGAAAGGGGGGGGGGGGGGGAGGAGGAGGATAGGACGGACTTCATCCCAGGAGTTGCCCGACCTTCGAGAGCGCCTTCTCCTTATCCTAGAGGTCGCTCAATGTAACTTTTCCACCAAAGGGGACGGGAGGAGGGGATAATTCAGGAAGAGGTGGGGTAAGGAGGTGTGGGGGAACCCATAATAGGTATCTTAGTCCTACTTGGGGGGTGGGCCGGGGATAGGGGGAGGAGGACACCTATCTCGGGAGTCTTCCAAGTTCTTGCCCTGTGGAGAGCACCCAAGGGCGACTCAGGTTCGTTGGGCATCTCCATCCGCTTTCCCTTTTCTTCCTCCCCCCCCCCCCCACCCCAGGCGGAGGTATACACCTGGCGCATCTCTCCCCCTCCATCTCCCACCTCCTAACTCTCTCTCCTCCCATTCGCCTCCCCTTTAACTCTTCCCCTCTGGCTCTTCCTTTCATCCTCCTCTGCCCCCCGGCAGGCGTTTCTATTTATCCCCCGCACTCCCTCCCTTTCCCACCCCCCGGCCGTCCAGCCAGTGGCGTCACCAGAGGTAGGGGCAATGACGCCGGCCCCCATTCAGGGATGACAGCTTTAGAGAGACGCGGGCCATGGTGAGCTCCCTCGCAGAGCCGGCGAGGCGCACGGGAGGCTCCGCATCCTCGCAAGGTCATCTTCCTCCTCCTCCTCCTCCCAACCCCGTTCCCCCCCTCTTCCTCCTCCCCCCTGGATCGCACGGGGCCGCTGCGCCGTTCTGGGCATTGGCAGGAGGGCAGCCTCGTCGGGAAGGTCGCGGGGGCGAGGCGGCGGGCGTGGATGGGGCTCGGCCTCCCCTGGGCGCCATGGACGCCCGGAAGGAGATCTCGGTGATGTTCCTGGAAGGAGGCGCCCTCGGGCCCCGGGCGGGCAAGAGGGCGTCGGGCTTGGCAGAGGCCGGAGGGCAAGAGAACCCGCAGGACAAGGCGATGCTCCGGAGGGCCCGGGAAAGGGCGGGAGGGAGGCGAGGAGGAGGCGAGGAAGAAGAGGAGGAGGAGGAGGAAGAAGAGGAGGAAGAGGAAGTGGAAGTCCTGCCGGGGACAGGGACGGTCCCCGAGAGCCGCTCGGCCGCGGCGGCGCTGCTCCTCCCGGCCGGGCAGACGCCGCAACCGCCGCCCCCTCCGCCCCCCCTCCACCGCCTCTCCGCCAAAGGCCAGCAGAGCAGCTCGGACACTGAGTCGGACTTCTATGAGGAGATCGAGGTGAGCTGCACCCCGGACTGCGGCACCGGCAACGTGGAATACCACCAGCATGGCAAAGGTACCTGCACTCTCAAAAGGGCCAGCCTTCCCCTCTTTCCCTTCCCCTGGAGCTTGGTTGTTTTTGGTTTTGCCAGGTGGGGGGTGAGGTGGATGGAGGGGTTCAGGTAGGCTGCATCGGTCAAAGGTGAGTGGGGAGAAAAGAGAGGAAGGAAGGAAGGAAGGAAGGAAAGAAGGAAGGAAGAGGAAGGAAGGAAGGAAGGAAAGAAAAGAGGGAGGAAGGGAAGGAGGAAGGAAAGGGAGAAGAAAGAAGGAAGGGAGGAAGGAAAAAAGGAAAGGAGGAATGATGGAAGGAAGGAAAAGAGGAAGGAAGGAAGAAAATAATGAAAGAAAAAAGGAAAGAAAGGAGGAAAGAAGGAAGAAAGGAAAGAAAGAAAGAAAGGAGGAAAGGAGGAAGGAAGGAAGGGAAGAAGGGAAGAAGGGAGGAAGAAATGAAAGAGAAAGAAGGAAAGAAGGGAGGTAAGGGAGGGAGGGAGGAAAGAAGGATGGAAGGAAAGGGAGGAAGGAGGAAGAAAGGAAAGGAGGAAGTTAGCAAAGAAAGAAAGAGGAAAGGAAGGAGGGAAGAAAAGAAGAGGAGGAAAGAAAGAAGGAGAGAAAGAAGGAAAGAAGGAAAGAAAGGAAGAAAGAAAGAAAGAAAGAAAGAAAAAAGAAAAAGAAAGAGGAAGGAAAGGAAGGAAGAAAGAAGGAAGGAAGGAAGGAAGGAAGGAAGGAAAGGAGAAAGGAAAGAAGAAAGGAAGTAATGCCCTTCAAGAAGGAAAGAAGGAAAATAAGACTTTTGTCCTCTATCCAGTTTGAATGCGCAAAACCCTAATTTGATACAATGGGGGGGGGCATGAATGGGGTCTGCTGCCCCGCATCATGCGATCCCTAAAGCACTTAAGGGTTAAAGAGGAGGAGAAGAAAGCGGTTCCCTTTCCCTCCCCGACCAGGCTCAAGCGCCTTGAGGATCGCAGCCTCTGTTTGGATTTTGTTCTCCCTTCTTTCCTTGTCACGACACCCCCTTCCCCTTCTTTAACCCCTTCCCAGAGCGGAAGGCTGCGGGGCTTCAGCCTCTGAACTGCCCCCAGAGAGAGACCCGCCACCCCCGGCACCTATCTCCCGCTTTGAAGTCTAACGACGTGTTAATGGAGGGCATGGAATGGCATCCTCGGTGCAAGGGGGCATTCTGACCTCTGCAAAGAAATGGGAATGAATTCCCCCAGAAGGTAGAGGGCTGCAACAACTCCTCCCCATCCCCCAGCCCCCCCCCCCCCCATTTCCAAGGCGAGGCGGAGGAAACGAGTTCCCCCAGATTTGGACGAGATCAAAAGAGGCCCGCTTGCCCGCTGGCCAGGTTTCCCGCTTGGGGAATGTGCGCGCGCTGGTGGAGGAGCCAAACCTCCCCCTCTCCCTCCTTCCCTGCAAAATTGCGGCAAGCAGCCCCATCGCTGCCCCAGGTCCGGTTTGGCACGTTGGTCCGAAGTCCCCAATTGCCTTCTTCCGGCGGCGCCAGCTCGGAAGGAAGTCATCGCCCTGTCGCCGAGGGCTCCTAATTGCCACTTTGGTCTGGGTCGGACAGGAGGAGGGCTGGGGGCACATGAAAGCCCAAGGCCGGGAAAAGGGGGCCTGCTCATCTCCTCCCGCCCAGACAGGCCCACGCCTTCCACACCTCCTCAGATCCCGACACTCCTTAGAGGAAGAGGGTAGATCAGGGCCAAAAGCTCCTGATTAGGCCCAATAGGAAGGAAGGAAGGAAGGAAGGAAGGAAGGAAGGAAGGAAGGAAGGAAGGAAGGAAGGAAGGAAGGAAGGAAGGAAGGAAGGAAGGAAGGAAGGTAGGAAGGAAGGAAGTCTCTGCAGTCCACTCCTTTCCCACCTTCCCCTCAGCTCTAAGGGGGAGAAGCGGGGAAACCAGAGCCAAAGCCTCCTGGTTGTGCCCACTAGGGTTCCTTTGACCTCCACTGTCACGAGAAAGAAAGAAAGATCTCCACGGGGTTCATCTTTTCTGTAGCCACTTGCATTTCCCTACCTATCTTTCTTGCTAGTATGATTCCCGGGTGCCTCCAGGGTCAATCCCATTGCGGGGTTTCCTTGGCAAGATTTCTTAGGGTGATGTTTGCACTTTCTTTCATTTGAGGCTGAAAGAGTGTGACCTGCCCAACGTCACCTAATGGCTGAGCGGGGATGAGAGACAGGTACATTCAAACAACTGCATCTATCTGGTGTACTTTTTGGATTTTTCTTTTCGTATCAGGAGCGACTTGAGAAACTGCAAGTCGCTTCTGGTGTGAGAGAATTGGCCGTTTGCAAGGACGTTGCCCAGAGGGATACTCCCGGGGTTTCTAATGTTTTACCATCCTTGACTTCTTGGATGATCCAACAGGAACACGAAACCGGTAACACTTTCACTTCAGGTGCTGCGGATAAGCGACCCCCCCCCAAAGAATGGGGGGGGGGGGAGAGACACCTTCCTATTTTTTGTTTTGGTCCATTCATCCAGTTGTGGTGAAAGGAAGCCAAGGAGCATTCCTCAGAAAAACACCTGAACTTTGTCATTTACGGCACGTTTGGCTCCCCATCTGTGGAAATCCCTACGGTAAACACAGAATCAACCCCAACAGGAGGGAATCTGGGACAGATAGGAACCCTAATCATCTTGTTTCAAGCCTTGACTAAGCCTGTGGCTTGAAAAAAAAGCTTCCCTTGGATTCCTACAGCCCTCATTTCCAAGTAAACGGACTCGCGTCCTTATGAAACCCAACCCGGCTTACATAGAATTCGCCTAAGTCCCAGGGCCTGCGTTCTTATGTGCCCTCATATCCCCTGTCCATTTATGGGGACCCCGCGAATTTCACAAGGTTTTTCTTAGGCAAGGGATACCCAGTGCTGCTTGTGCCAGGTCCTTCCTCTGAAATATCGCTAACAGCTTCCACTTGAGACCCTTTACCCTCAATACTTTTTTACATTATCCCGGATATATAGGTATATAAAATAGATATAAAAACCAACAATTGGCTGATTTTGAGAAACTGCAAGTCGCTTCTGGTGTGAGAGAATTGGTCGTCTGCAAGGACGTTGCCTAGGGGACGCCTGGGCGTTTTACCATCCTTGTGGGAGGCTTCTCTCATGTCCCTATATGGGGAGCTGGAGCTGACAAATGGGAGCTCATCCCACTCCCCAGATTCCAAATTACAACTGCCTGCACAAGGCTTTAGCCCATTTGCAAGGCCTGCTAAAGAGGTTGGTTTTGCTTTTCAAGAAGTACTGCTGAAGCATTTTCTGCAGTGCCCACTCTAAACACTGCAGAACAGATTTGTGTGAAACAGCTACTAGATTTACTGTTGTCAATTTTTCAGGACCCCCCATTTGAGGTTTAAGACCCACAGTTTAAGGAGCAGTGGCCTGCAAACACCTAGTATTCGTTGGCGAGCTGTCACCCAAGCCCTAACCAGAGCTGGCCATACTTAGCTTCCAAAATCAGGCAGGATCTTTAGGATATTGGTTAGGTTCGGCTCTCCATTCACTGAGAATGCCTCCCACGGAAATGAATCAGGTGAACTCTAAGAGGGGACTTAAGATCCAGTTGGAAACCCATTCGCCTTAGACCGGACCAGAGCGTTGCTGTGGTTGTCCCATCCACCTGGGCTAAGTCTAGCCCAGAGGCTCACTGAGGCCCTTCCACTGGCCCAAATGGTTTATTTGAGGCACCCCTTCTTCTCTTCCTCTCCTTCCATCCCACACCGGGCAGAAATGGCGGGGCAAGGCGGGCGAAACGCGTCTCCTGGTCCTTTCTCTTGCTGGACGGCTCCCTCTTGCCTTCCTCTTCCAGGGCAGGGCTCAGAGGCCTCGACGGGGAGCCCCAGCAGCAGCGGCGGAGGCGAGCCCCCCAAAGGCAACGGAGGAGGAGGAGGAGGTGTTGGGGGCGGAAGCAGCTCGCAAGGGTCTTTGGCCTGCAACGCCAGCGATCAAATGCGCCGCTACCGGACGGCTTTCACCCGGGAGCAGATCGCCCGCCTGGAGAAGGAGTTCTACCGGGAGAATTACGTCTCCAGACCCCGGAGGTGCGAACTGGCAGCCGCCTTGAATCTCCCAGAAACCACCATTAAGGTATGAGAGGAGGAGGAGGAGGAGGAAGAGGAGGAGGAGGAAGAAGAGGAAGAGGGGGCTCCCAAATCAGGGGCTCTCAAAGGCTGGATCTACACTGCCATATCAAATTCCTTTGCTTTGAACTGGATTATATGGCAGTGTAGACTCATATAATCCAGTTCAAAGCAGTTAAAGTGGATTACTTGCTTTGATAATCTGGATTATATGGCACTGTAGAACCAACCATAGTGACCATTAGCTCAATATCACACACATGGGCTAAACTTCTAGAGTTACTGACTTCAAAGTCACGCAGAGCTGTGGACTTCCGATTATTTGCTTTGAACTGGATTATATGGCAGTGTAGACTCATATAATCCAGTTCAAAGCAGTTAAAGTGGATTACTTGCTTTGATAATCTGGATTATATGGCACTGTAGAACCAACCATAGTGACCATTAGCTCAATATCACACACATGGGCTAAACTTCTAGAGTTACTGACTTCAAAGTCACGCAGAGCTGTGGACTTCCGATTATTTGCTTTGAACTGGATTATATGGCAGTGTAGACTCATATAATCCAGTTCAAAGCAGTTAAAGTGGATTACTTGCTTTGATAATCTGGATTATATGGCACTGTAGAACCAACCATAGTGACCATTAGCTCAACATCACACACATGCACACTGGTCTGAGCTTCTAGAGCTATTGACTTCAAAGCCACACAGAGCTGTGAACTTCCGGTATTGGCCCTAGCCAATAATTAGGTCGCTATCACCACCACCCGGATTGGACCATCGAACAAGGCCCGGCCGTCTTTCCGTCTTTATTTAAATTAGGCCCTTTCTACACTGCCATATGATCCAGATTATCAAATCAGATAATCCAGATTATCTGCTTTAAACTGGATTATATGAGTCTACACTACCATATAATCCAGTTCAAAGCAGATAATCTAGATTTTATATGGCAGTGTAGACCCAGCCTTGCTGAAGGACCTTGAGATTCTTTTGGGGGGGGGGAATCAATCCAAGACCCATTCCCTATCCTCTCTCACACTCTAGTCCTCCAGGTTTTAGGAATCCAACTCCCAAAAGCCTCAGTTACTTTGGTTTATAACAAAGGATTCTGAAAACTGACGCCCAAAACACCTGCAAGACTAGAGTCTGGGAAACACTACCATGCTTCCCAGCCTTTGTTCTTCCAGGTGTTTAGGACTTCATTTCCCAAAATTCCTGACTGCTGGCCAAGATGACTGTGGCTTCTGATGTTTGAAGTCCAAAACACCTGAATATCCGAACATTGCCAATAACAGGCTCCTTCTTCATTGTCATGTAAAATCTAGATTATCTGCTTTAAACTGAATTCTACGGCAGTGTAGAAGGGGCCACCGAAGGGAGAGGACATGACTCACTAGACAAGACACTAATGCTTGGTACGGTAGAAGGCGGCAGGAAAACAGGAAGATCACATTACAGATGGACAGACTCAACCCATTGCCTTGAGTTGGTGGTAGGGTGACTTGGAGATCTCTCAGTCCTAGAGCAGCCATAAGTTGACTTGAAGACAGTTAACAACAAAACCCTACTGACCTTTGGAGCCTCACCTTCTAATGCAGTGGTTCTCAATCTGTGAGTTCCTAAGTGTTTTGGTTTACAACTCCCAGAAATTCCAGCCAGTTTACCAGATGTTAAGATTTCTGGGAGTTGAAGGCCATCTGGGATCCTACAGGTTGAGAACCACTGTTCTAATGGGCGATCATGTTTCCAACCCAATACAGGAATTGGGAAATCAGTGCTACTAAAATCCACAGCAAAGCAGCCCTAAAAGATTTTTTGTTAATCCACACATTAAAACCCTACCTTTTAGATAGCCATTTCCTACTCTTGATGTCTACTTACGGTTTTGTCTATTTGAAATCAATGGTGATTACTTCCAAGTGTGGGAAGCATGGTTGAATAGATGGGAAGACATTTGGGGTATAAAACAAAACCTGGGGTCCACATTAGATGAATATTTATGTAAGGTCAGTACTTTCTCTCATGAATCAATACAAGTATTGTCGAAGGCTTTCATGGCTGGAATCATTAGGTTCTTGTAGGTTTTTTCGGGCTATAGGGCCATGTTCTAGAGGCATTTCTCTACAAACCTACAAGAACCTAATCAATACAAGGTTACTTCAATAGCCTTTGGAACAGGTAGTGGGACTTGTTGTTTCCCACCTATCACAACCCTGTGATAAAAGCTATCATTGGGTTTTCTTAGAAAGATTTGTCCAGAGGGTGTTTGCCTTTCCTTCTTCTGATGGTGAGAGAGTGGGACTTGCCCAAGGCCAAGACCTGCCCAAGGAGAGGGTGTGAGAGTGTGGCTTACCTAAGGTGACCTAGGGCCCTTCTACTCAGCCATATAACCCAGAACATCAAAGCAGAAAATCCCACATTATCTGCTTTGAACTGCCTTATCTGAGTCCACACTGCCATATATTCCAATGAGACTTACTTTTATGTAAACTTCACAATAATTTCACTGCAATAGTGGAATTGGTGAGTGGGGTTTATAAGCATACCAAGGGCCCTTCCACACAGCCCTATCTCCCAGGATATCAAGGCAGAAAATCCCACAATACCTGCTTTGAACTGAGTTATCTGAGTCCACACTCAGATAATGTGGGATTTTCTGCCTTGATATCCTGGAATATAGGGTTGTGTGGCAGGGCCCATAGACACTGCTAGCACTTTTGCATGACAAAACCCTGCAAGGATTCAATAAAGGGCTATTTTTTCCCTTGAAGGGTTGCATCTCCCATTAGTATCAGTGGAATCCAGAGGACAACCTGTCTCATTATATAGTCAAACATAGTAAGAACATATTGCATAGACTGAATATTGGAAAGGGAATAGAACAAAGAAGCATTTATATGCAGTTTGCAGTAGTGGTGGTCAGGCCCGTAGCCAGGATTTCGTTTGGGGGGGGGGCTGAATTATTTTCAGGGGGGG